CCTCCGTTCACTTCAGTGCGCTTTTTGCTGAAAAAGCTTTCTTTCCCCAGCCAGACACCTTGGAAACGAATTCTGAGGGAGTAAGGTGACTGAGCATGTGTGTGGGTCCCTGTAGCTCATCTCACTGAGGAGAGCAGGCCCTCTCCATGTGCATGCCTGGGACCCATGACTCATATGCGTGAAGTGGTCAGCTTCGTCATTTGTTCTCCTTGCAACCAGCATGTCCTTGAGCCCTACACACTGAACACACCACTGAAAATCTGGATGGCATATGGGCTTTCCCTGGCCATGGTCTGGACATTTGCAGTTTGAGAAGCTCCTAGCTAGAGTCTGCACCTCCAGAGCCACCAACGCCAAAACACTGCCGTGCCCTCCGTTTGACCTTTAACATGTACATCGACAGACTCAGGCCCTGTGCTGAACACCTGGTATGCGGAGGTGACTGAGGGGGTGGGGATGCTCCAAGTCACTGGGAGCCCATTGGAGGAGGCAGGTGCATAAACAGCTAACTATAGCAGCAGAACAAAGTAAGAGAAGTGTGCACTGGGGTGTGGGGGAGCCCGGAAATAGGAGAGCTTGATTCTTCTGAGAGGTTGGGGGGTGCTCCATGAAAGGGGTAACCTTGAGAATGAATAAGGTTGGGCAGGAGGGGAAAGGAAATTCCAGGCTGAGGGAACGGCATGAACAAAAGCTTGGCGGTGGGAGTGGACAGGCCTGATTCAGGAAATGGGGGAGTCCGGTGGGGTGGTAGGAGCTCCGTATTGACAGCGAGGGGTGTCCAGAGGGCCCAGCAGCCCCAGGAGTGCGAAGCCCAAGGTGGAAGGCACGTTGGCCTGGAACGGGCTCAGGAGGTTCCTGGGGGCACCGCCTCCCACCCAGGCATCTTGACTTCAGCATCCCAGCTTCTCTTTACCCCTCACTCACCTGGGGAGAAGGCTCAGGCTCTTTCGCCTCCCTCCTCAAACGTGTTAGCTCTTTCTCTGAAAAAGTCCTGGCATCCATTCCAAGATGCCTTCTATCAGCACCCACTCATCCACCATCCCACCCCCAGGCAGAGGTGAGGTGCTCCCAGCCCATCCCAGACAGAACACATCATCCAGCCCACATCGGTGACCTGTTCTGTCTCCCCCACTGGCCACAAGCTCTGGAAAGATAGGGCAGGCTGGTCCAGGCCAGGTCTCTAGCACCCAGCACGGGTAGAGTAGCAGCAGTGAACAAATAAAATATAGTATATCCTTACAGTCAAATATTATTCAGCCACAAAAGAAATGAAGTACTGCTACAGCTGGGTGACCCTTGAAAATGTTAGGCTGAGTGGGAGCCATACACAAAAGGCCATATATTGTATGATTCCAATTATGAAATATCCAGAATAGGCGATATAGAGAGAGAGACATGAAGCAGATTTGCAGTTGCCAGAAGGTGGGAGAAGGGAGAATGGGGATTGCCTCCTTAGTGAGTATGGGGTTTCCCTTTGGGGTAATTAAATGTCCTGGATCTAGATAATGGTGGTGGTTGCACCATTAAATGCCACTGGATTGTGCACTTTAAAATGGTTAAAATGATGAATTTTATGTTACGGGAATTTTACCACTGTAAAAAAAAAAAAAAAGTTGTATAGGACCAGATGAGACACTGTGAGCTGGGTCTGATGTCCATATGCCTCAAACATATCTGCTGGCCCTTCTTCCTGTTACAGACCTCCCCAGCCCAGGCCATGCTTTAGGGGAGCCTACGGCACCTCTCAGTGTGGGGTAGCCCCATGGTCAAGCTGAGGAGGGCTGCTCACCCCACCCAGAAAACAGGATTCCCAGCAGCCAGGCCTGCTTCTTGCTCATGTTCCTCTGTTGAGTCCTAGTCTTCATCACGTCCCCATCTCGCTGACCAGCCTGCTTCCAGGTGGTGCCAAATGTTCTCCGCGTCTCGGGCCTCCATGCCTTGCTCTTGCTATTTTCACTCTGCAGGAAGGTATTTCCCTTGTGACTCCTCATCCACCTAGAAACATCCTCTAGGAACCAGCTCCTGCCTTCCCCCTTGGAGAAGACTTCCTCCTCCCCTGCCCCCTCACCACAAGCTTAACTGAGCCCTTCCAAGGTGTCGCCTGCATATGTCAATTAAAGCAGGTGTGAGTGCTATCCTGTTTGCACATATGTCTTCCCAGGAGGACGCAGAGTCGTGAAGGGAGGGGCCTGGCTTGTTCGTCATTGTATTCCTGGGGCAGCTCTGGTGCCTTCTTCATAGGAGGTGTTCAGCAAATGCTTGTTGAATGAAGCAATGGGTTTGGGGAGGTTCTCTCCCTTCCCAGACATGTTCTCCATCAGTGAGGGAGGGACAGGCTGGGTGATGTTCCCTCGTCCCTGGCGCTCTCTAGTTCTAAGAGCAGCAGTGGGGAGCCACCACAGCAAGTCGCTGCCTGTTATCACAGGCCAGTTTTCTGCTCCTGTTGCCTGGCTGAGAGAAGTGGAGAAGGAGAGAAAAGGAGCCTGCAGCCATCCACTGCAAGCAACTCTTTCTGCTTTGGGTAGGGAGGAAAGAGGGCAATGCCCAGAGATGATTTCTCTGTCTAGCCTGAGTGGACCACCTCTTCTCTTTGGAAATCTGATTAAAACCCTTGCCCGAACAGCCTACACATGTGGGTTTGAGCCGAGGTTGCCTGGAGTCTGACTACAGGACCAAGCAGCAGGCTCTTGCTCCATTTTCCTCTACAAATGTGAGGTGCTACTCTTTCTGCTTTTCTGATTATGAAATTAGTCATTTTCTAGGAAGCTTATTTATAGTCCTCTGCACACATGCAGCACCAAGCTATTCTGAACCAGGGAGGCTTAAGGTGTGAAAGCAGCTGTGAGTCACCCCTGGGGCCCCTTCCAGAGGTATCTGGATGCTTTGGTTACCTTTCTGCACCCAGCCAAGGGCCGCCCTCACGGACTGCCCTTCAGCTGGGGTGCTCTTTAGGATGAAGACAGAAAAAGCTCAGGGTCGGGAGGTTGCGGGTAGATGTTCTCAACCCTAATTCCTGTGGCCACGGTGTACGACCTGGGGCAAGTCAGATCCTCATTCTGTGCCTCAGTTTCCTCCTCTACAAAATGAGGGGGAAAATGTACGATTCCGTGACTGCTGTGGACAACAGCTCTGGAGGAGGGTTGCAAGTGGCTTAACAAAAACCTGCCCACGAGGCAGATCAAATGATAGCCACATTCGAGGTTCCCGATGTGTTTTCATGAAGGTCAGGGCAACATTTATTTTCTCGACAAGGATTTTTTTTTTAATTGCAGCCTGATGGGTTTTTTTTTAATTAATTAATTAATGTTTATGGTGACATTGGTTAACGAAATCCAATGTTTCAGCCGTACACTTTAACAGTAAGGCATATGTATATTTACACTGTGTTCACCTCCCATAGTTAAATTTCTTTTGTCACCATATATTTGACCCTCTTTACCCCGTCTACCTCCCCCCACCCAAGGATTTATTTATTGAACACCTATTATGAGCCAAGCACTGTGTGAGGCTTTGAAGATTTAAATAAAAAAGAAATGATGGTCTCTGCCTACATGTAGCTTATAGTCTAATGGTTAAGATAGGTGTTAATTAAATAAAAGCATAAATTAAAATGAAATTTCAAACTGTGTCAAGCGCTATGAGTAAAAAGTACCGAGAGTTGGAACTGGGGGAGCTCTCCGGGCAGAGAGAAAAGCGCATATAAATTCACTGTGGAAAAAAAAAAGAGCCTATCCAGTGTGGTGAGAGTGCCAAGGTCAAGAGGAAAGGGGCATGAAATAAAGTCAGAGGGATAAAGAAAGGTCAGATCATGCAAGATCTAGTAAATTTATTAAAGGAATTTTATCTTTGTTCTAAGTGCAGTAGGATACTATTAAAGTAGTTTTTCAAGGACGGTTGTATGATAAATGTTGAGTTTTGAAAGTCTCAATTCTAGCTCAAGCCTACCCCATCCAGTTGTACAGGTTGTAAACTGCACAACCTCTAAACCCAGCAACCACAGGCTCCAGGCCCTCCAGAGTGCATTTGAAAAGTGCAAGCAAGAGGATCTGATTGACCCAGCCTGGTTGGTGTGTCCAGCCCTGGTTCAGTCAGCTACTGCCAGGGGTCAGAGGCATAAATGGCAGGTGGGGCCATCGGACCCCACGCCTACATTTCACACCATTCCAGGGCCTGGGAGCCCCTGAGAGCTGTGCAGTTGCCCTCGGGATGTCCATCTTCAGACACTTCAAGGGGTCCGACTGACCTGCAGCAACCTTCTTCCAGCTTGCTGGGTAATCTAGACCCCAGTACAGTCCTGGAAGGCTCCCTGATGGTCTCAAAAAAGGGTTTTCTGATTTCAGAAAGAAGTAGAACATTTAGAATATGCAAAAAATACATATAGCTACTTCTGGCTAGTTCTGGAGAAGAGTTTTGCATGCCACTGTCTACTGCCTGAGGTACTGGGCAGTTGCAGGCCTTGGGGAGCTGGACACAGACTATATGTTACCCAGACCCCTCTTCCTGCTCACCCATGCTTTCAACTATTAAACCCACAGGAACTAGGAGGAAGAACAGCACAGCACTAAGAGTGCGATCCTGGAGTCCTAGACTGTAATTTTATGCCCAGCTCTACCTTAAGGAGCCCTGTGACCTTGGGCAAGTTGCTTCTCTGAGCCTGTTTAATGATCTCTCATTCATTGGGTCATGATAAAGATTCAGTGTAATAAAATTTGTAAAGTGCTTTGCACATAGTAAGCCCTCCTTCCACAGTAGAGATCATGGTGATGGTAATGGGCATAGTGATGCTGCTGCTGCTGCTGCTGATTCCATACGGAAGACACCTGCAGAATTCTGCTCCTGCCTCTGCATCCTGACCCCTCTGTACGTTGGTCTTTTCCTCAGGTTCCCCTAATGGGGTGGGGTTACTCAGAGGGACATGCAAGAAAAGAAGGCTTTTTATCTTCGCTCAGGGCTTTGTCTTGATCTCAGCTCAGCATCTCATGTTTTTCATCCTGCTGCAGGAGGGAGAGAGAACCACACTGCTGATGACTCCGAGGGAGGGGCTCTGGACATGTGCTGCAGTGAGAGGCTGCCGGGTGAGTCTTCCCAGCACCCAGGTGCCCCCCAGAGTTCCAAGTGGAGGGAGAGAGCCCCAGATGTCACTGGGGCTGGAGTAAAGCCTGGTTAGCTGTGAAATTGCTGGAAAAGAGTGACTCAGCTAGTCCATAGGTCTTCATTTAAATGAGGATTTGTTTTTCTAATCCCTCATGTCTTTCTGGCCTGTTAACATTTGGAGCTGCTCTGGGCTCCCATGGAGGGAAAAGCGGGAGGCTGATGGTGTGCTGGGAGGGTGGAGTGCTGGGAGGGTGGAGAGAAGAGTTGGGGAGTCCAGGGCTGATCAGGACATGACAGCTGACCAGTAGTGTGTCAGGCAGACTTCAAGAGGTCAGATTAGGAAACACAGACAACCGACCTGTCTGTGGCATGAACCCAGGGTAGGACGATGTGAAGAAACTACCTGACAGCCCTGTTGAGAAGCCTGGTTGTGGATGTCAAATTGTACTGCTTGAGTCTGGTTGACCACACTTGCGGGGAGCCTGGCTAGCTGAACCACAGGCCATTGCAGTCACCAGAGGGACATTACCAAGGCACTCCTGCCCATGGGTGGCAGTATGTCCCACTGTAGACCAAATACTCAAGTCATGATAAAGGGAAGGAAGGGGAGGGGATTTTTTAGTGTGTGTTTTTTTTTTCTTTTTAGAAAATTTTTGGGTTTTTTTCTTTTTATAACATATTCATTGTAGAAATATTAGAAAATAAAGACAAGCAGGAAAAAGAAAAGGAAAATCACTATAATCCTATAATACAGCATACATTTTCCTATCTCCTTCTAAACCTTTTTGTTTAAAAAAAAAAATTTTTTTTTGCCTCTATAATGTTGAAGTCGCAGACCTGTACCTTGTCAGAAGCCTCATGATTGGCAAGGAACCTTAGAATGGAGTCTTCAATGACACTCTTTAAGATAGACATGTAAAACGACTAGGTATGCCTCTAAAGCGATGTATCTTTAAAATAAGTGGTTATTTTATTCACACCATGAGCCAGTGCCCCCACGACTGCTGAAGCTCCTCAGGCGGCCAGGGGAGCGTCGACCCCTTGGTGCAATTCTCACCTTATCCAGTAGGGGGTGCCATTGCTCAAAACACTTTGGACAGCCTGATGAGATGGTGTAGGATGGATGCCACTGCACAGGAGTCGCTGTGGGGACCTGAAACAACTAGCTTAGAGAAAAGAATTCTCCAAAGGGATGTGAGAGCTGTCTGCGACTATCTGAAAGGCTGTCTTGTGACCGGGGCAGTGGATTTATTCTGTGCAAATCTTAGGAATATGGCAACTCAATACACAGACATTAAAGAGAAGCCTGTTGGCATGGCATGCAGAACTTTCTGACTATAAAAGTGGTCCAATCATAGGACTTGGTAATTCAAGAAGAAGACAATGAGTGTTCCATCACGAGAGGCGTTCATATATTTTCTGGATAGACATTGGAGAGGAAATTTCCACAATGGGTGGGAGGTCAAGATGACATCAAGAGTCCCTTTCAACTATTAAACAGTTCTGTGATTCAGATATGACTCATAGAATTCAGAGATGATTCTACAACCAGGGATGGCCCCGCCAGCTAGAAAAAAATCCACGGAAAATAGGACATGATGTATGAGAGTCCAGAGATGAGCGTGGTGTCGATGAAAGATCATGGGGTTTGGCCTTTGAGTCTGGCTGTTCTGTTTCTATTCTTTGTGTTAACGGACAAGTCACTTAACTTTGCTGGGCCTCTAGTATCTCAATTGTAAATGGAAACAACAATATAAATATCCTCACAAAGATTAAAGCAGTGTACATATTCAACAAATATTTTTTGAAAACCTACTGTGTATCAGGTACTTTACCAGGTACTAGGGATAATAGTGGTGACTAAAGCAGACATAATCCCTGTCCTGCTTTGAATTGTTTCTGGAAAACGGGATGAAGACACAGCATAGAGACTATAGTAATAAGCATGTTTAATTTTACCCCTCTCTCCCATTCCTCCCTGAAAGCCAGCAACCAATGTAGAATATTTAACGGAACATAAGTCATCTCCATTGGTGCTGGCACATTGCCTTTCTTGTGTAACCTACTATTCCAAATGCTTTCACACATATATCTCGGGTAATCCTCTTTGCTAACCTAAGAAGACAACAGCATTTGCTTTCTCCATCTTATAGATGAGAGAGGACCAAGAGTGTTTGTCTAGGTCACTTAGCTGATGTTTTGCAGAGTGAGAATTCACAGCAGGCAGTCTTTCTCCAGAGCTCATGCTCCTGGCCACCAGCCCATTCTGCCTCTATGTCACCATAGAGCCACCATCATCTTCTTGTACCCTGCAGACTGAGACGGGAAGAGCTAAGATGTCTGTCCCCAGGGAGGAGTTTGAAGGAGGTGGCAGCTCACACACCTGATAGTCTTGCAGAGACCAGGCAAGTTGTATGCCCCTCTAGACTCACACAGTGCCATCTTAATGTAGTATTGAAATAACTTTTTGTTTCCTCTATGGGACCATGAGCTCCTTGAAGACAGATACCTCTTTATTTCATTCTCCATGTCCAGCATTCATCCACTCATTTCTTAATCTATTCACTGGCTATTCATTGAGCACTTACATGTACGATACTCTTAAAAGCACTGGAGATTCAACAAAGCACCGAACAGAAAATTTTCACCCACACAAAACAGTGCCGTATACTGGTTAAGACCAGGGACTCTGGACCATGTTTGGCTCTACCACTTACCATTGGGATGATCATGGGCAAGCTATTAACTTCTCACCTATGAAATGTGCCTCCCACTTATAAAATTCCAGGAATAATATTCACTGCCATGTAGAGCTGTTAGAGGATTAAATGAATTAATAGAGAGCTTAGAGCAGTGTCTGGTACATAGCAAGTGCTGCACAGGCATTTGCTATTAAAAGAAAGATAGACAAATAAAATAAGTAAAATATATAAGTGCTATGGAGAAAATTAAGGCCAAGAAGCAGGGAAAAGACTGGAGGGTGGTTTGGCATTTCCACAAATGTTTGGCAGCTAAACCATTCACCTGAACTGCAGATTGGACATAAGAAGAGATAGATGTACAAAAGCCAAGAGAATTGGGGTGCTGGGCCTTTAGAATGAACCCATGGGAACTGCAAGCAATTGCATAATGATGGTGTAAAAATACAGCCCTCAAGTAATCTCTCCCCCTCCCAGCTGTCTTCCCTGCTGGGCAAGATGAGCGGCGAGGCAGAGTGAGGGCCAGCCATGCCTGGGTGACTCACTCATTCCTACTCGCAGCACCAGGCTGGGGCAACATGGCCAAAGCTCCCAGACACAGTCACCTGGACATGAGCCAATGCGGAGCAGGTCATACAGTCCTCCCACATTGTGATTTCCGGGTGAAAACATCATCAGCATTCCAGGCAATCCACAGCTGTCCTGAGGCGGGCATACTTGCTTATTCCCTTGGGGCCCTCCATACATGTGCTCACACATTCATGTGTGTTCTCACTTGTTACAGCTTCATGTTCACATACTCAGTGTGCACAAACCCACGCACAGTCACCCAGGCACGCACCCTGTGTCTGTCTCACAGAGACTGTGGAGGCACGCACCTACCCTCCAGCTCACACACCTGCGAGTCTTCTTCCTCTTGCTCAGTCCGGCTATCTTAGCTCCATTGCTCCATCATCCACCCCCTTCCATTATACATGTTTTTAGAGGTGGACAGACTTGCTTGCAATCTCATTCTCTGTAGGTCTCTTTCCCGCAACCACACCCCTTCTCACGCTCGCCTACAGACAGGCAGGCACACTCCTTCCCTTCCGTTCTCTGCCCTGTTCCAGGCCCTCAGTTAGACGTGGTTCCCAGTACTGTGGCAGGCACTGGGACACGCACACGTTTATTTTTCTTCTGCCCTCGTGCGCACCCATGGTCACCCTTCTTTTCTTCTCTTTCACTTCCCCTCGCTTGCTCACTTAACTTGCTCACAGTCACCCAAACACATTTATACATTCCAACTCACACTCCCCCTCTTCCGTGCGTAGGTGTTCACATTCGCAAGAAACCAGGCAACCCTGCTGATGCTGGGGCCTCCGCCCCTTCCTCAACCAGCACGAGTTCAGGCCTAGCTTGGGACAGCTTCCTCAGGGTACAGGGCAGAGGAAGGAGGTAGATAAGACAACAGTAGGTGCCAGTTACGGCATGACATTACCAAGTGTTGCTCTGTGTCTCCAGTGGGCAGACTTACGGGCAGGCCCGTTCCTAACACTTGCAGGGACCGAGGCCACACGGCAGATGGGGCCCCTAGTGGTGCATCAACCCACCTCTCAGTCCTGTGCTGCAAGGGCCCTTGCGGGTGCGCATGTGGGCACGTCAGTCTACGTGTCCAAGTATGGTCCATGCCCGCCCCAATAGCTGCCCCTTGGCCACCCCTCAAACCTAAAGATCCAAAATCCCCAAGCAGGAGGCCCTATCCACCCTCAGAAGGGTGCACCTGCACCCATGCAGGCTTTAGGTCACTTAGGCAAGGAGTTCTGGAATCCTCGTTGCCAAAGCATGGCCTGGAAAGGGGGTGTGGGCACATTTCCTGGGCCCTGTGGACTTCTCACCCCATGGGGAATGGCACGGCCAGAGAAGAGGAAGTATAGGGTCATGGTCTAAGGACAACACTGCTCTTGGAAACAGCGTGTTCCCACAGCCCTCCTGTGGCTGGCAGCTGGCTGGAGCCATGATGTCACCATCCTGAGATTTAAGTATGTCATGATGAACTGGCTCTGTCCAAGGCTGTGAGTAGACACTGAGGCCTAAGTAGGCCATCGCTCGTTTGGTAGAATCAGTGGCCTCTTGGGCCAGTGGCTCTGGAACCCACTCACCACCTAAGTCCCAATGACTTTTCCTAACTCTCCACCCAGCCGTAGGCTCTGTATCATTGTGGGTATCAAGTGGACCCTCTTCTGAGAGCGACGAGGTCTAGGTCTCAGCAAGAGGCCACTGCCCATCACTGTGACCTTTTATAG